TTGGTTGGGGGAAAATTCTACATCCACCTTATTCTCCCGATCTTGCTCCTTCAGACTACCATTTGTTTCGTAGCTTACAGAATCATTTGGAAGAAACAGCTTTTGTAACACAGGAAGAGGTTAAAACTGACATTTTTGAGTTTTTCGAATCAAAGCCAAAAGAATTTTACAGTAATGGAATTAGTAAGCTTGTTAATAGATGGATGGAAGTCATAGATAATCAGGGAAAATACATTGTTGATTGAATTTGTAATTAAATGTAACATTTGGTCACTTGTTTTCTTTATTCAAAATTCGGACAGAACTTATGGGATGACCTGATAATTTTAATTTTGTAATTAGTACCGGCATTTTGTTCTGTGCATTTAGAATTGTTACCGAATCTGGTCTGTGGCTTCACAAAATCCGAGGAATGATCTGCAATGTTATCGGTTCTGGCATGGTACCTCGGCTTCAATCACTTTCCCACCTTTTTGCCTTTTTAGGGGCGGGAACTTATTAACAGGACTTTATGTATTAGTTACTAGCAGTAGAGCCCGGCATTGCCCGGGGATGTAACAGTAAGAGATAAATCAAGTATTGACCATCATAAAGACAGAAAAATAAAATTGACTAAGATTATTGATTAAGGTTGACGGACACGCATGTCTTAATTAGTTTTTTTGTTCTGTTTTTTTTTGTTGTTCTTTTTTACGAATTGGTCAAGCCCAAACTCAAACAAAAACATTGTTTTCAATCGTTATGAGTCTACCGATTGAATAGAATTTTATTATAAACAATTTAACAAATTTTTAAAGCATTCTGAATGTAAAAATAAAGAAAAAAGTGTGCAAGACAATAAGAAACACTACCTGCCAAAAAAAAGTGAAATTTTGTTGAAATCGGTTGAAAAATGTAGAAAATCCGATCCCATATATAAACGAACACACACACCCAACCAACCTGGGTTTTATAATAAATATAACTCGATAACTCGATATTAATAAGTATAACTCGATATGAGTTGCCCCCCTTTCATTAATGCCTCTTAATTGTGTTTTCAAATTGATTTCGTGCAAAAACAATTGTGTTTTTTCCATTTTTGGTGCTGTCAGAACCACCGCAAGGCAATTTTACGTAGTCCTGTGAAGTTTTGTTGAAATCGGTTGAAAAATGTAGGAAATCCGATCCAATATATAAACGTACACACACACACACACACACACACACACACACACACACACACACACACACACACACACACACACACAATCTGCGTTTTATCATAAGTAAGATTCTATAAAATTTTATTTCATTTTTCTCGTATAATCTACTGAATGCTTTTTCGTGCATATATCTATCTCAATTTCTTGCTTGCTTGCTTGCTATCTTTTTGTGTCTATTGTAACCATTTTTTTTTTACTTTAATTTACTGAAATTGCAAAATTTATTGAACAGAAATGAAGAGATAAACCATTTTCTTTTCATTTTCGACATTGTTTTTATTGAATAAAATATTTCCAGTTCTTTTTCATTATCCTCGGCTATCTCTCAAGCAATTTCATAATTCCTTTTCTCAGAGCTTTTTTATCTTACTAAACAAAGAGCAACCTTGAACTGTACTTTTGAAGCGAATTGAATTTCTTTCAAAAGACCAGACTTAATGTTAATCCATAGATGCAATCTCTAATGAAAACGGCGAATGAGTAAAAAGAAATTTTCACCTGGTGCTCATTCGGGCGAATTATTTTCCACTCTACCACCTCTTTCCAACAGACGAAAAGCTGTCACTATTCTGTCTTTATTTTCATAGAAAATATTCCAAGGAGATACATTCCTTAGTTCTACCAGTCCAGACCTCCACAGCTAGGATCAGTCATGCCACATACACTGAGACAAATCCACCTTCCCTTTATGCTCATTTAGTAAGAAAGAGATTTAATCTGGTCATCATCCCGAGAACCGCTGTTTTGTGGAGCGGAATCACAAAAGGATGCTTTTCAGATCGTTACGATATTTACCTCTTTAGGTCTAGAATCAAACGTTATCTATCCTACATATCCTCACAATATGCCTTTCTTATTTTCTCATTTTACACTCTACAACAACCGCATTTAGTAATCCTCTACCTTGAGTGGCTCTTGGAAATTTTATTGGGTGAACAATAATAATTCTAGATAAACACTTTCCCTCGATCGTGGCATTTTTTCTTGATTGAATGTGTCGCTTGGATTACCAAGCAGTTTATCGTAGGGGACTCCGTTCGAATCTGACCATATACTCAATATCATCATCTTTGGATGCGAGCCAGCATGTGGTATAGTTCGTGCTATCTCCTTTCGTTTGCGTTACAATCTCTTTCACTCCTCATTGTTGTATATTATCCACTTTTCATCGTTCCCTACAAATTGATTTTGTTATTTCAGTAATGTTTTTTTTTTTTTCTCATTTCATTAATGCAGAAGCTAAACATTAACAGTACTAACATAACCAAGCTGATGCAAATCATTTTTAATGTTTGAGTTGGATATTTTGAATATGTTGGCCATTTCGTGTATTGTATAACATTAATTATTTTCAAACCATGTCATTATTTTATTACTATCTTAAAACGTTCTACTTAAGCGCGGATCAACATTCAGAAAGGTACCTCCAGCGTGGAACATCAGAAACTCTTTCGATCATTCACAGTACTTTTTTTTTAAGGCAGTTCACCCCAAGGAAGGCGGGAGTGCCACTAGCACGCAAGGGGTTACAGAGGATTGAGAACAAGAGTAAAGAGGCGTGTTCGAGGAAAGGATACAGAGAAGGACGGTGAAACAAGCTCAGTGTGTCAGATGTCGATTGACATTACAATTGAATATTTAAAGATTATAGTCATCGTGGAAGCAAGTAAGGGGAAGGGAGTTCCACAGACGGGAAGTGCGGGAGAAGAAGCTGTTTGGAGGAGAAGAGACAGTTACATTTAACCGTTTTGACAGTGAAAGTGTGGGACCGAGATGCCAGCCTGGTAGCTCGCTTAAATTCATGCAGTCCGGGAACCAGCGAAAGTAGCTCGTCGGAACAGTTGCCGTGAAAATATTTGTAGAAGAGAAAGAGAGGAAAGCCATACCACGTCTCTGGGATAGCGATTGTAGGCTAGATGCCAGGTCAGGACCTATCATCTTGCATATTCGTCTCTGGATTTTGTCAATGACCTCGCGACGTACAGCGGAAACAACAGACCATATATGACAGCAATATCCTATGCAAGGACGGATGGTTGATTTATAGATTCGAAGTATGGACTCTTTTTTTTAATACGACTTTATTTGTTATTACCATAAACCAATGATTCCCTAAGTGGGCGGTACCTCCCCACATTCCCGAGGGCGGAGAAAAGGCCCAGGGGGCGATGAGAAAAAATAGACAGCCAAAGGGTAGCAGTGGCACATCTAAACTGTAACATACACCAAGCACACATATTGTACCTGAAGTGTATATCGCCTTCGTTTCACAGTGTCTCCCATTTATATAACAACTAATAGCATGGCCCGGCGTTGCCCGTGCTTGATTTAAAAATCGTACGACTCATACAGAAATGGCTATCACTTGAATTAAAATATTTTTGCCCTTCCTTGCCTTTAAAGGAGTGCCCTTTGCCGTGCTGATGCTGCTATATTCCTTACTTCTTGCCTATCTCACACTGCAAATTTTTCGAAGCTCTATACTAAACATTAAATCTGTTACGAAAAAAGAACTAAACAAAATGAACACAAAACGATCAGCTTTAAAAAAGGACTCGTAACTGGAAAAACCGAATGAAAAAAGAATTTTAACAACAAATACTTTTTCACACCCAACCCAATTCTGCGGTATCAGAATCAACGTTGAGTTTAAGCAAGCGAATGAGCCAATTGGAGTAAAGTGCCATGCAGATTTAAAATTTTCCCACTTGTGACGAATGCAGCTATCGATTTTTTTTTGCATGCTAGCATGCTAGTTAACATTCGTGTCAGTCAGCTGTTGGCTCTCAAGCTGGCCAATAGAATCGTCCTGCCTATTCGTGGCAGCCAGCTATTGGCTCTCACTCTGGCCAGTAGAAAATGGCCGCAAACTACATGAAAACTGTTGTAGAAGCCTGAAAAAATCGATTATTTCCACTATCGATGGGAGTTGTTAAATGCAACGTCGGTCTTAGCCTTCCCGCTAACTTGGAGCATGTGCATATAAATTGTGGTGCAAATCCTTCGAAAATTGCGGCCGTGCATTCGTTACACACACACACACACACACACATCCTGCCTTTTATAGATAGAGATTACTATAGGAAAAAATACTAACATATTCATTTGACATACAATAATAACACCAAGTAAATCCAATCAAAGGCCGACTGTGCATAGTGGGGGCGTTAGTTATGTCTATATACATTTGGTACTCGGGCGTTAGGATTATGTTTTGGTACGCAAGGAGGAGGCAAACCAAAATATCATTTATTTTTGTAATAACGTTTGTAGCAATGACAAATAATGTCGGATTTATAAAGGAATACACTTAAAAGTGACTGTTTTTAACATTTCAGCTACAAAATCAAATCGAGCAGCTATAGATATAAAAAAAATCCTAGCGAGAGATGCGCATTATTTAAGTTGATAATTGAGCCTAGCGTTGCGGTCTGGTTGGTAAAGTAGCGTTTCGGCTATAGGGATGGTTTTCCTGGTGGAAAAAGTAATACAGGTTTGGTTCCAAATGTTGAGGGGTTGCATTTTTCATTGGTATGATTTCTCGATCTAGGCTGCTTAATGTGAATTCTATTGTTTAAGAAAATAATAAACAGGGATGTTACCTCAAACAAGCGTACCCACTAAGAATAACGTTTATATGAAGCAGGACATTCTCCAAAGAAATGCTTACTTTTTTTAATTGCATTTCTTCAGATACATAATGTAAATATTGATTATTTTACTCCATCTCTGATGATGGAATAAATAAATGAAATAAGCTAATTTTGAGAAATTAAAACAAAAAGTATGTATGACATGACAACTGTCACGTTACAAACAAGTGTGATCTTTTGGAAAGATACTTGTCAAAACAATGATAAAAACAAAGAATCGGACATTTTGACAGTATCTATCTATCTATCTATCTATCTATCTATCCTGGTCTTTTCGTCATCTGTCTATCTCCCTTCGCTTTTTTCATATCTATCTATCTATCTATCTATCTATCTATCTATTAGCTGTTTATAACACCTGATATTACAGATGAGATTTATTATCATTATTTACATCAGTAGATAATGTGAAAAGAATCAAAATCTATCTATCTATCTATCTATCTATCTATCTATCTATCTGTCTCTTCTTCATTTTCATATCTATCTATCTATCTATCTATCTATCTATCTATCTATCTATTGGCTCTATAACACCTGATTCAGATCAGATTTATTATCATTATTTTCTTCAGTAGATTTTGTGAAAAGAATCAAAATCTATCTATCTATCTATCTATCTATCTATCTATCTATCTATCTATCTATCCTGGTCTCTTCGTCATCTGTCTATCTCTCTTCGCTTTTTTCATATCTATCTATCTATCTATCTATCTATCTATCTATCTATCTATTAGCTCTATAACACCTGATATCACAGATGAGATTTATTATCATTATTTACATCAGTAGATAATGTGAAAAGAATCAAAATCTATCTATCTATCTATCTATCTATCTATCTATCTATCTATCTATCTATCTATCTATCTATCTCAGTCTTATAAGATATAGGCATGTATTTATCTATCGTAACCGCCTTATAACTATCTGTACAAATATGACAAAAGGCTAATCTGAAACGATTCCAATGTGTTCAGATTTCTTAGGCTAATCAACAAGGTACTGTCAAGATCAGACTTGATCCCAAGGGCAAGAGATGTGATTTAAACCCCCTCCATTCTGATTACACCATGGTCTTAGAATGAACGATAAATTGAACTAAGAGTTGCGGTGGACAGCAACAAAATGAAAAGATAAAATACTCACCAGAAAATAATAATAAAAATAACTCAGAAACATGCCCAATTAAAGACTATTATATCCATTACTACTACTTGGTGTAAATTAGTAACAAAAATAAAATAGAAATAAATACTAATGAAAAATCCATACTACTACTAATAATAATAATATTTATTATAATGTTTTATCCTAGAAATTCGGTCAATTTACAGCTGAATTGGCTAGATGCAACCGTAAGTTCTATGCTAACAGTTTCTTTAATATACGTATTCAGTAGATTATAGAAGAAAAATGAATTAAAATCCACAGAACACTAATACATACAGGCCTATTAATAAGTTTCCATAGCTAGCGGATCGGATTGAGGAATCGGAGAGCCAAGTTCGAATTTCAGTCGAATCCATTACATTCACTTAAGTGCTAATACCCTTGGGAAAGGTATGAATCCTCTTCCTCTCCCCCCACCCAGCTATGGGTAAATAGCAGTACAGACGGGGTTCTGTAGCCTTGGATGGTAACTGGTCTACCTCAGAAAGAAATGGCAACCTACTGCGGGAAAAAAAATCTGCCTCGTCAGTCATGTATCATGCATCTCGTATGGCACATAACTGACTGACCTAAAAAGGCAGAAAGGTGGGAAAGTGATTGAAGCCGAGATACCATGTCAGGACTGATAACATTGCAGATCATTTCTTGGATTGTGCGAATAATCTCTAGATACACAACAGAAGCCACAGACCAGATTTGGTAGCAATACTCAATGCACGGAACAAAAAGCCGATATTAATTACAAAATTAAAATTATTTGAATTGGCTAGATGCAACCGTAAGTTCTATGCTAACAATTTCTTCTCTCACAGTTCTCGCTTGGGGTACTTTCTTCCAGTTTCATGTTTTCCAGCTAACTTTGATCTTAAAAATTTAAAAGCAATGTTTCTTTTCTCACACTTCTGGCTTGTGGAACTTCTATTCATAAGACCACTTTTCGTTAACAGCATGCTGATTGGGACTCATTCCGTGATTTTCTCCAAGACGCCCCTTGGACTGACATTTGTAAACTTCATATTGAGAAATGCGTCACTGAGGTTTCCTCTTGGGTCAAAGCCGGCATGGATGCTTTCATTCGTTCGCAAAAATACCAGGTGAACCCTCAATCTTCTTCATGTTCTGCTGTTATAGCCCACAGAAACCACTGTTTCCGGTTATACCGGCGTGACAACTCTCATCACGACACGCTTGCACGTAATAAATTTAAAGAAGTCCTCTAAGGAGCTAAATCTCTGTTTGCTGAGAAAATGAGGCACTATATTGAATCTAACAATTTTGCTCTCGTGATTACTGGCGGATGTGTAATAGTGTATTAAATAAGAGCAAGTTTTCTATTCCATATGTCTTCAATCAATTTGAAGCTGAATGTTTCACCCTTAGATTCTCCTTAAACTATACTCTTGCCTCATCAGGAGTATCGTTGCCTATCTTCCCACTTAGAATTGCGTCGCTGCTGAGTGATATGCATATAATCCCTACTGTGGTTTCTGCTATCATCTCTAATCTGGATCCTCACAAAGCATGTAAACCTGATGGTATCCCTGTAATAGTCATTAAAAGTGTGCTTCCGAACTGACTCCTGTTCTCTCTAAACTGTATAATAAATACCTCACTGTCTCTTGTTTCCGTCCCTGTTGGGAATCTTCCTCTGTTCATCCAGTTTTTAAGAACTCTAGGGAACCATCCAATCGTTCCAACTATCGGCCTTCTACCTCTTTTAGGGAATCTTCTAGAGGTCCATATCAATGCTGAATTGGTTAAGCAACTCACATTGCAGGGCTTTTATTTCTCCAGATCAGCTGCTGTTATACTAACAATAATTGTGGAAGAGTCTATCAAGCTCTAGACCGGTTAAGCTCGGGCTGTAACTTGGGACATCATTTAATAATATCCGAAGAAGAATCAGAAACATCATTAGCCCTGATCTTGCATCTTCACTTCAGCCACTTTCACATCGACGCAAAGTTGATCCCACCCCGCTGTGCATTTTTTGGAATTACTTTCATGTTAATTGTTTGGGTGAGCTCTTAGTTAGGCTTTTTGAATATAACCGCCGTACTAAACTGAAATCAAGGTCTCATCGTTGATTGATATGTTGGGTAGAACCGTAATTTTTCTGCTAACAGTTTCTTTTCTCACTTCTGGGTCCATACTTTCCAGCTAATTTTAATCTTTAAAAATTCAAATGCAATGCCAATCGCTATCTACTGTCCTCCTGATAACCATTCTTCTGTACACGCTTCTTAGTGATGTTTGTGTTTTCTAGTTCTTCCACACCCACTAACCCCACTGTGTCTCAGTGGCTTTAATGCCTTGACTGAGGTGAAAAAATAATGAATTCAGAATGGTGAACCTAATAAAGAATTGTTGACAATTCACAAAACTTACTTCAAATAAAGCCGTAGATGGACGAAGATCGTGTGCGTCAGTATTCAAAACAAGATGTGCGTGTCAGCCTGCCTTGAAAATCAGAATTTCAAATCCTGTTTATTAACTGGATTTGAATATAGACCTCTTAATAATATTAATAATTATCGAATGATTCTAAAAAATAAAAAAAAACTTTCATTGTTGGCAGGTTTTGTTATGGAGCTATGGTTAACAAAAAACGCTTACATATACCGTCCATTCTTGAAAATCAACATTACAAATCTCGTCTATTGACTGGATTTGAGCACAGATGTTTTTTATACCAATAACAATGTTTCATCAAATTGTTCTAAATAAAAAAAATAAAATCACAAACTCTTATTATTGGAAGGATTCGCCATGGCGCTATGGTTAACAAGCTATGGCTAACAAGCCAATCTTGAAAATCATCATTCCAAATCCCGTCTTTTGACTGGGTTTGAGCACAGATGTCTTTTATACCAAAACAATGTTTCATCAAATTGTTCTAAATAAAAAAAAATAAAAAATAATCCCTAAGTCTTATTGTTGAAAGTTTTGAAATTTTGGTTAAAAATTCGTTTTTTCTAACGTCAGCGACGGATCATAAATGAGTACAGAAAAAAACATTGATTTTGAAATTCTTGTAAAAATCAGATAATTGTTGGATTTTAATGAAAATTTCTGGATTTATTCACAAAGGAATGAATATATATATATATATATATATATATATATATATATATATATATATAAAGACACTCACGTTATATTCAAGTAATGATACTGTTATCGGCCCTCTACATAAAAATACCAAACATTAAGCTATCGATAACTCTATCAATATCTGATCCAAACACTCACCTCCATGTTAAAAATTGCTTTTCTAGGATAATTTAAACTAAATGTAATAATATTTGTTTTAATTCAGATTAAACTTAAAACCAGTTAATCTTTCTCAAATAAAGTTTCAGAAAAGTAAATTTTATTTTTGAAAATTGTTTTTAATAATGACAATTATGCAACTTTGAGGAATTTGTCGATATAACTGATCGTAACGATTTCCTAAAAAAATATTCCAATCAATTTAAATTCGGTTTGAAATACAACCAAGTATCTTACTTATTGGCAAAAAAATAAAAGATTGAAGAAAGATTTTGAATTTTAAAAGACCATATTAAACCATATATATATATATATATATATATATATATATATATATATAATCGACTCTCCGTCGCGTTCGACGTATGAGGTCAGGCCGATAATAAGTCCCCAGGGGAACCGATATCCCGACACCGGCACATGAGATTTGTTTATATGGTGAAGGCCTTGTGCAGGACCAGCCACACTTTTGGAGGACGAATACAGAAACCTGGTGCACCGAATGCATGCCACAAGGTTCCCAAACGACCCTCCGCAGGTTTTGAATTCAAGTTGTCCTTCTCCCTGGACCAGTTGCCATCCAAGGTTATAGAACCCAGTCTGTCCTGCTATTTTACCCATAGTTGGAGGGAGATGAAGAGGATACATACCTTTCTATATATATATATATATATATATATATATATATATATATATATATATATACATATCGACAAAACATTTTTTTTACAAAAGATGCACTTGATTTCAGTGCATTTCATCTGCACTTATGAGAATCGTAAATGGTTTTGAAATGCACTGGAACCGTTGCATCTTGTAATTAAATCTATATGATAAAATTATAATAAATATTATCGCTCGACTTTTGATTAAAACCTCATCGCATCGGATATATATATATTATATATATATATATATATATATAATATGCAATTTTATCATATCGACAACCCATTTTTTCAACTTGATTTAATTTTCATCTGCACTTCGACGGTGAGAATCGTAAATGGTCACCCGTAGAAGTGATTCAAACTCACTGAAACCAAGTTGCATCTTTGTAGTAAGTAAAATGGTTTTGTCTATATGATAAAAATAATAAATAAATAATTATCGCTCTAGTATCGGTATCGATCCCTCTTTTGGATTAATGCTGTGAACATTGGAATTTATATATTACTTTCGTTCTCATCGCATCGGATATATATATATATATATATATATATATATATATATATATATATATATATATATATATATATATATATATATTAGTACATATACGCGTACCTACGATTTTGGCGTGCGACTATAGTTTTGTTGGGTGGTGTTCCCCGTTCGTAGGTCCCCACCCAGGTCGCCAAAAACGCAGGTACGCGTATATATACTAATTAATATCTACCTTTGCTCTGTATAACCTCATTGGGCACCATTACGTTTACAC